CTCCACGGATAAGAATGAAAGGTACTGTTGAGCTACCGTGAGCAGGGCCAACAAAACTTTTATTCACTCGTTAATTCACATCACAAAGCATTATGAGTGTAATTATACAAAGTCCCATGCTAGGATCCTGGATGACACAAAGAAAAAAATGAGTGTGGCACCTTCTTTCATAAAACCTTGGTGAGGCATCATTAGCCTGTTCAAGCAGGCTACTTCTCAGGAGGTTAATAAAGATGCGACAGAGTGATAAGGAGTCCTTTCACGTGGGGGTTCTTAGAGCCTTTAAAACGTTTCTGGACAACCAAACCCCCTCCGTGTCATTTGTCCACAGATACTTCACCAGACTGTCTCATGGAACACATTTTGAGAAACACTACTGGGAACTACAAAGCTAAAAGAGACAGAGGGGGCGGGGGGAGCAGTGGGTATACAGGTAAATTTTTTAACAACCAGTTCTCCAAACTGGGAAACAGAAGCCCTGGTGTTTGCCAATTACCATGGTGCAAATACTTCCACCGTAGCTGAATTCCAGCTAACAAACATGACGTCGCTGAACACAGATTTGGGCACACATGCACACAATTGGCTCCCGCACTACTGACGTCTGGGGAGAGAAAGCTCTTGCCAGCTGGGAGGACGGTGGGCAAAGAGAGCAGCTGGGGCTAATCCATTCCCTCTACCCAGTCTGGTTTTTCTTGTTGTGACCAGCAGAGGAGCTAAGGCAGCCGGGGAGATTTAGAATTTACTGCATGGAAAACTACATTGCCGCTTAAAGGCTCTGCAGGCCTCTGTGTGAGGAGTCCCCCACTCCTCACACACCTCCAGTCTAACTCACACTTAAAATCGTTGTATTCAAGATATTCAAGAACATGGTACAGGGTTCTTGTACTTGAGGGAAGAAATAAAGAGTCCCCAGCGAGAACGCAGAGGGTATGGTGACCAGTATGGATTCGTGGTGCTTACCTGCTTGGCTTTTTGATAAATGACCCCAAATTTGAATGTGTTCTTGACATCATGCTCATCATAGGACACAATCATGTGGGAGGCCTGGAAAATGTGGGAAGAAAAATCAGATTGTTTATTAATTTGGAGGGAAATGGAGGGGGAAGCACCCATTTCAGTGGAGAGTGTGCCCCCTGACATGAGACACCCACACGTAGAAGAGGAGAGAGGGTGTAGTCAGGATGCAACTCCAAAGCTCTTAGCTATGTCTCAACACCTGAGCGTTCCCCAGTCGTGGCCAAACCCCTGGATCGCTGATTCTGTTCCCATCCAGATGTGCCAGCCAAGGCCTGGGCACACAGGGGGTCCAGCAGGACTCAGGGAACTGATGTTACCCCAGTGTGTTACCTGTGGTGCGAAAAGTGAAGCCAGGCCCCCAAAACTGGTAAGCGAGGGTGACACCAGCTCTCCTTCCACCTGTAATAGCAGGTGATTTTGACAAGGCACTGCTCCTGCCGGACTTTAATCCCCTTCATCTGTAAGTGAGAGGACTACACGGAGCCCCCTGTTAGGAGTGACACACCCAATGCAATCCGCAAAGGGCTGAGAAACCTGACCACTAGTTTTATCTCATTTTCCATTGCGCTTCCAAGAGTAGGGATCTGAGGGTCAGAAACGCTAAACTCCAAGTGGGAATCTGCTGCTTTTGCCTTTACAGATCCGAGTGAGTCACTTAACTCCTCTGGGCCTCGGTTTCCTCATCCGTGAAATGGGGATGTGTGGTTGTGAAGATTCAATGATACCAAGCACCTAAAGTGCTGAGCACAGAGCAGCTGTCATCATCATCATCCTCCTCATCATCAGTGTAATTCCCCAGAAAGATTAGAGTGGACCCAGCTCAGTGGGGGAGGGAAGATTTGGACGCTATTGGGATATCCTTTGCAATAAAAAGGAGGGATCCAACCTCATGTTATGGGAGAAACAAACCAGGCGTGACTTGTCTGGCCGCAATATGAGGCCCGTGTTAGGTTGCCACACATGACATGTCTCTGGGAGGCCCGAGCTGCCTGGGAAATGGACACTTGTCAGCTCCCCCTGGAAGAGCACCGCTGGCCGACCCGCAGGGAGCCACCCACTCGCTGCTGGGATGACTCAGAGGAGCAGAGCAGCTGCCCTGCCAGGGAAGAGGCACCCGGCCATGGAGACCTTCCAAGGAACATTCTAAACTCTGTGAATTTTAAACACACACACACACACACACACACACACACACACACACACACCAGCCAGAGCAACACCCCAGCCGGACTAAGCAGTCCTTCAAATGTAGAAAACATGAAAACCCAGCTGCTCCTCCATTGCTACCAGAGCAGGAGGCTTCCCAAGTGACAGAGAGAACTATGCAAATGGGCGTCATTAGGCTCTCTCCGCGGATATGACCTGACAACAAAACTGCCCAACTTGTCGTTAAGTTGGGCCTTTATGGTGGGGCTGTAATGTTTGGTTAAACCTCACTAATCCAGCTTTAATTATAAATAGAAGGGCATTTGGAGTGATAGAAAGTGTTCAGTGGAGCGCAGCCTATTACCGCTAAGTGCCTATGGATGCTCAGAGCGCTGGGAAGAGGTGCCTGAGAGAAGGGCTCTGGCGCCTTCTCTGTGCAGAGAGGCGCTGTCATGAGCTCAGCCATCAGCAGAGTGTCCTATCCAATCGTGAACACTGAAGGTGTCTGTTCCAGGGGGTTCTGGAGGTCCAGCCAGGATAGTGCCTCCCTTCCCCACCAAACATTTCAGCTCACGCTTCCTGGCTGTCGGAACTGGGACTCGGGCATGGACCAGACCCACCCCAGCATGCCCAGCGGCCACAGCGCTGACCCAGCCTCCAGACCCCGCCGGCTCACGAAGCAGCAGTGGGTGCACAGGGCCTCTTCCTGCGGCCGATCTAACGCAATTTGCTGTCTGTGGTGATGTAAGTCCTGTCCCTCCATAATGGTTCTTCAGTGGGTTGTTGGTTTGTTGTGTTATTATTGCTCCTCCCTCCGCCCCCACGCCCACATCAGAACCAGGGTGAAGACCAGGACAGTCCTAAGGAAACTAATAACTAGAACCAGCCGGTTTATGATGTAGGGCCGAGCAGGGGCTTGTCAGGCCTCAGAGCTGCAGTAACATTCTCAATGAGGAGCTGCAGTCTGGCCTCTTCCTGTTTAGTGGGGTCCTGCCTTCTGCCGCCCTCACTCTCCTGTGATGGCTGACCAGGTCCGCACCGGCCTCCATCCCCAGCCAGAGGGGCAACATCCCCCAGCGCTGACCAGGGCTGCGGAGCAGGGGCGCTGGAAGGTGGGAGGCTGCCACCCTGCTAGCCCTCCGCTACCTGCACACAGCTGAGGACGTCTCAGGCCGGAGACCCAGGCGTGGCCAGTTTGTGAAGGGTGAGCAGGGAGAGGGGAGACATGGAGGTTTATCGCAGAGACCCCACAAACCCCCACCAAGATGCAGAGGATTCCCACAGAGCCCCTGGGGTACAGATCCGAGCCCAGCCGCGGAGCCCTGGGGGAGGGGAGGAGGGACGTCTCACCTTGGGGTACAGGACAGGGCTGAATTTCAGTCCCACTGCGTCATCGCAGAATGCCTGAGCAGGG